TCGTCCTCTGCTTACTGGGCCAGCCTCGACCTCCCAGGGCAGGATCTCAGCGGCCTTTTGCACCCTGTGTCCTTAGAACAGTGTGTGGTGCGAGGAGGACTGGGCATGAAGTCCCTCTGTGTGCAGGTTCCACAGTGGTCCTGAAGCCCCCGGGGCCCTGCCCTGGGTGGTGACCTTTACAAGTCTGATTAAGAGCAGCGGAGGTTTGATACAAGTAGGTCAGCTGCACTGTGGTGGCCAGAGCTCTGGGGAGGTGCGGGGAGGGTCCTCTCTCCCACGGGAGAACCCGGGGTGGGGGTGGGGGTGAGGGGCGGGGAAATCCCTCAGACCCAGAGCAGAGAGAGGAGTCAGGGAAGGCTGGGGGAGGGGGAGTCCCACCCCCACCTCAGGCTTCATGATGTCAGACTCTGCCCGTGCCTTTCCCAGTCTGGGACAATAGCCCATTGAAAGTGGGGTGGGGCTTGAACGCCTGGGTCCTGGAGAAGAGAAGGGCCTGGTGCCTGGGCTTTGGGGGAGGACACAGAGATGCTGGGGTACTCATGTGTCACCACCATCCATCTATACCAACCCCTCTAGGGTTGCAGTTGGGGACTCTCTGGGCATGAAATGAAGGCTGCTTCTAGGGAAAGGACGCACAGACATGGGTATCACACAAGGATCCTGCTAATTATTGCCAAGATCTGCCATTGCCCTCAGCAACGCCGGAGTGAGGCAGGTGGTGTGAGAGTGAGTGACAGGCTGGGTGAGGGGGCCCTGGAACCAGAGAGCATGTGTCCTCTCCAAAGGGGCCAGCTGCCAGGCAGATCCAACTGCTAAATCAGCTGATGTTTTGAGAGAAAGCAGGTGTATTAGTTTGCTAGGGCTGCTGTAACAAAACACCACAAACTGAGTGGTTAAAAAAAAAAAAAAAGAGTGTATCGTCTCACAGTTTTGGATACTTGAATTCCAAAATCAAGGCGTTAGCCAGGATGGTTCCTAGATATACGAATATAGTTTTTTGGTTTGGTACTGGGGATTGAACCCAGGGGTGTTTAACCACTGAGACTTTTTTATATTTTATTTAGAGACAGGGTCTCACTGAGTTGTTTAGGGCCTTGATAAGTTGTTGAGGCTGGCTTTGAACTCTCGATCCTCCCCAGCCACCAGGATTACAAGCACGTGCCACCACACCCAGCAGGATAGTTCCTTGTGAGGGTCACAAGGGAACGATCTGTTCCGGGTCTCTCTCCTTGGTTTGTAGATGGCTGTCTTCATGTTCACATGGTGTTCTACCTATATCTGTCCAAATTTTCCCTTTCGACCAGGATGATTGGGTCAGGACCCACCATAATGATTTCATTTTAACTTAATTACCTCAGTCAAGACTACCTTCCACTGAGGTCACATTCTGAGATGCCCAGGGTTTAAGACTTCAACATATGAATTGGGGGGAGAGGGCACGGTTCAGCATATAAGAGTATAATTTTTTTAAGTGCTCTAATTTGTAGTTATTAGTGCAATTTTATCTAAAATGTCACGCAGAACAAGGAAAACTCATCTCCAGGTAGAGTGTCCCTCTCAGTCACTGTCCTCCCTTAATGTTCTCTGGAGTGGGGGCTGGGACTTCATCCAACCCATAGGCACTTACTTGTCTTTTAGTCAAGCCTGGCAGTTTCACATCAAAGGTCCTCAAGTTGTGGCCTTAGGGCCAGCCGCCCTGACACTTCCTGGGTGACCTTGTGAGAAATACAAATTCTCTGGCTCTAGCTTCACCTGTTGAATGAGGAACTCAGGGGAACCTGCATTTTATTAGGCCCTGGAGATTCCCTTTGAGGCACCCTGAGGATTGAATACTGCTGTTTCAGATCTTCTAACCTCCGGAGGACCCCCAGGAGAACGGCCTCAGGAAGTGAGAGAAGAGCTGGGAGCTGTATGGGAGGTGGGTGTGTGGGGGGGTGTCATTCCGTTTAATTAGCAAAGTCAGGTTTCCCATCTACCAGGTATTTATCAGAGAGGTGGGAGAGGGCTTCACTCTCTCAGTACCAATACTAATAAAATAGTACTAATCCTTTACACTTAGGAGGTCTGTGACAGTTTCCAGCCTCTCCATACTCCTCCCCATAAGCCATTTGCAGAAGGGCGAAGACCTGGCATCGGGCTTGGCTCTGAGGAGACTGAATCGACTGCAGGGTCCTCCCGCTGCCCTTGGGGCTTCCTTCAGGAAGCTGAGTTGAGCAACTCAGGGACCTGGGCAGTATGGCCACCAGAAGGACCCAAGTTCTCCAAGGACAAGTTGTTGGCGGATATGGGATATGGGACTGTCCAGGAAAGGGGGTGTTATTTGCCATTTCCACTCTCCTGGGGTACTCATAGGTTATAGCCTTGACATTAGCAGGAGGGGAAGGGGAGTCTTGAGGGGCGGGATGGGGGTCAGGCCATGGGGAGGAGCTTATTGGATGCTCCCATTTTCTGAGGGGGCGGGGCTTGGGGATTTGGGCATTCTAATTAGGGTGGGTGGGACACCTAATATCACTGTTCAGCAGGCGTGCTGCTTGAGAGCTTTGAACTGAGCACGCAGGCGGAATGTCCACTGTACACGGTACTGCACATGCTCTATTCTGCTTTCAACTGGATCAGGGCTTGTGGTTTTAGTGTCTGTTGGGTTAAGCTTACCTGAGAAGTTAGTGAAGCAGAAATGACAAGGTTACAAGAAATAGGTGTGATGACCTTGGCCTTCTGGGGTCCTCCATCCCTTCATCTTCCCCCTGTCCAGCCTCTGATGGCTTCTAAGGCAGAATGCAAAAAAGTTGGTAGTATACAGGGCTGCCCTCCTCCCGGTTGGGTTTAGTTTGGCTTACAGAGTGTTGATTTAAAAAAAAGGTTCTTTTAATCAGTTGTTGTGAGGATGGCCCTAGGCCTGAGCCTAAGCAACTCCATTTTAAAAACTCCAGTTTGAAACCTGCAGTCTCCCCAGGCACATCCACAGAGCAGAGCCCTCTAGTGTGGCCTCAGACAGGTCACTTCCCCAACCCTGATAAACAGTGAAGCCCCTGGCAGGCTGTCCTCCCCTGATAAGAGGGAAAGGCCAGAAGATCAGGGTGGAGACCACCAGACCAGATGTTTCTTACCCCAGGGTAAATGATGTCATGGAGAAATCTGGTGGTAGCTGATAAGGATTGAAAGAGGGGTCAAAAGCCCCCAAATTTAGTATAAATAATAGAGCTGATGAACAGGGATTCAGCCAGCAGGAACAAGGATGCACTCGAGCTGGAGAGCCTGATGAGGACCTGTCATCCCATCACTTGTCATCGTTTGCCTGATCCTCTGTGTGATCCTCACCACCCTCAACCTCTACCGCCTCGTCTGGACCCTGGTGAGAGCCGCACCTTCTCCCTCTCCTCAACCGGCCGTCCACTCCACGCCAGGAGAAGCCTGCCTTGGTCCTGACCTGGTCACCACGGTCTGAGTGAGTGTGCAACTGCTGGACGGAAAGCCTGAGGCTTGAGACTTTTGAACTGAGCACGCAGAGGGAAGGTGTGTCACTAGCCTGTCATGATTCAGTGTGTCTGCTGTGCTTAGAATAATCGAGAATTGTGTGCTGTGTATTAATTAATCTAGAATTGTTTGATGTGAACTGATTTCGTCTATTGCAGTGCCCAGCATTAAGGATTGTCATTTTCTTGATTAAGAACCTATAGAGTGAAATTGTATTGAGTGATTTGAGTGAATAAAGCATTGAAAAGGGCAGAAATGTGTGGACATTCTTTATTTCTCCCCTCAACTGCATACGTCACAATTTTGCCCCCTTGCAACAATTGTCAATATTTAAAAAATCAGAACATTTCATTAAAAAAAAATAAGAATACCCATCTCCTCTGAATGAAATCAGAAGTTCTCACGCTTTGGCCTGCTTTTGGGTCTGGTTGCCATCTTTTGAAGGTCCCCTTAAGGGGGCCCCAGGCTGCCTTCCTTCCTGTCAATACCCTTCCTTCCTATCAAAGGGCCAAGGCACTTTATCGTCCTACAGGCGCTGTTGTAATCTTATGAGGGAGGGAGATAATCTCTTTCTACCAAAATTAGGTCAATAAGAATGAGACTGACTCAGGGAAATTCATTACTGTAAAGGTGAACAGTATTCCTATGTGCTTCTCGTGAAAAGTGTGTCATATTGAGAGAACACAACCTGAGATGCTCCCGTAAAGCAAATCCAACATTCCTCACTCACTTACCGTACCTTTCTGATCCCCGATGGTCAGTGATTCTTTGAACTCTTCTAAAAAAAGTTTTAAGAATCTCAGAGAGATTTTGTTTTAAGTTTTTGTACGTTAAAGCTGTAGTTGCTTAATGTAATAGAAATTGTAATTGATAGATTTTGGAGCTCGAGATATACAAGCACATATATCAGCTATCAGCAATGACGTCATCGTGTCACAGAGCCTTGCAAACACGACACTGTACACTTTGGAGAGTGAAAAATGGCAAATAACGTCTTAGTAGTTTCCACCTCATGGAGCCCTGGAAGGAGTCCCTGAATCTTACTATGAGAAGTTTTATTAGGCAATAGAGTTATGACCCCTGTTTTAGGAAGACTCCAAAGACCTGGGTATGGTGGTGCTCATCGATAACCCCAGATACTAAGGAGGCTGAGACAGGAAGTTCCCAAATTCAAAGACAGCCTAGGCAACCTACAGAGACCCTGTCTCAAAATAAAAATAAAATAATAAAATAAAAATACATAGGGCTGGAGATGGAGCTTAGTGTAGAGGGCTCCAGAGTTTTCAATTGATACACACCAAGATTCTGAGGAGAGGCAACTTTGTTTAACTTTTCATTTCTTGCTATTGCAACATAAATTCCAGGTCTTTTGAAGTGGGGAAAGAAGGGAGAGAACAGAAAACAAATTTACTTCACCAACTTTCTGGCACACACCAATCTAATATTGGCCCTTGCAATGCACGGGCTGCGAGAAAGGACAGCAGACACTCCAGTTTGAAAAATAAAAGAACCAGGCATTTTATTCCAAGACGATGGTTGGAGGGCAACAGGAATAAATAAGGGAGGGAGGGAGGCCCAGGGGCTCAGGACGGGAAGACTCTACAGGAAGACTCTAGGTCCTGCAGCAAATTCCACACCCGGAATTTGTACAGCAATTGCAGCAGAAAATGCAGATGGGAAAGTGGGTGTCTCGCCTCCTTAGCCTCTGGCTCACCGGCTGTGGGAAGGAAGGGAGAGTGAGCGGCCGGACGCAGCATGGCCTGGGCAGGCGAGGGGACAGGGTAGGGAGTTAAACCACTCTTACCGTCAAGTGGGCTTCAGTCACAGCTGTGTACTGGGAGTGGCGCTCTGCGGGCTGCCTCGTGAGTTGCCCTGTCTGTGAAAGAGAAGGGGGCATTGAGGATGGCAGAGTCCAACAGAGATCTTGAACTTGCTCCCACCAACCTGTTCCTCCCCAGGTACTTGGTGACCTCATCATTCAGCTGGCTCGGAGGAGGGAATCTTGCCTTTCTGCTTTCCTCCCTGTTTTCCTAAAAGCATCCCAGATATGTCACCTTCACTCTCTGCGGTCACTCCTCTTCTTCGGTGTTGTCACCCTCCCTTGGCTGGATGCCAGCATCAGCCAGGTCTTCCTGCACCGGGCCCCTTACGATCCAGTGACTTTCACTCAGACTCTTACCATCAGAACATGGCTTTCCTCATTAAAAAAGCCTACAGCCCTTCCGAAGCACTCAGAGGAAAAGTCAGTGTCCAAGCAGCTGCCCACGAGGCTGGCCCGATCTGTGTCCTGCCCACCCGACCTTGTCTCCTGGCACCATCTCCTCCCATCCTCAGGAGCTCCACGCTCCTGCTCACCTGCTACCGTCCAAAGCACAGGCCAACTGGAATTTTCTCACAGAACACTCTTGCTTGACTATGGGCCCCTGCCTCCACCTCTAGTCCCCCTGCCCTGTGGTCACACTACCACTGTCCTTTACATCATTCGTGAATAGTATTTATTAAACAGAATTATTTATTTGTTTAATTGCTCATTAACTAATGACCTGACCAAGACATAAACTCCATAAGAGCAAAGATGTTGTCTCTGCCTTACGCATTGCTTTATCCCCATTGTATACAATAAGATTTGACAGAGGAGGCCCTCAGTGATACTTGTGTCATTACATCAGGGTCCCCGAACTTGCCACTCCATCCCTGTTCTTTCAGCAGCTGCCAGTGTCCCTGAGTTGTCCTGAGCTTTGCTCAGTGCTAGGGGTCCTCCGGCTGCCTTCAGCAGCCCCTTCCCAGGGGCTGACCCTCCGATCCCCGTCCTGGCCCCAGGGGCTCTTACCTGTTGCTGGAGGCTGGAGGTAGTGGCCAGGCTGGAGAGGAGGAGGAACAGGAGGCAGGCAGCTCGGATCTGGGTGTTCAGTGCCATTGTGCTGTCTGTCTGTCTGACCTGCTCTTGGGTCTAGGACTTGCCGTGGTGACTGGGGTGCAGTTACAGTGGCTTTTATGGGGCCTGCTGGAGGCGGTGGTCCGAGCCCCCACCCCTTTGCCCTAACTCATTTCCAAGAAGGTGGTGGCGCCGAAAAGGCGGGAGAGATAAGCGGGAACAGAGTGACAGGGAACAGGGTTGTGTCACCCTCAGCCAGCAGAGGTGTATTCAGGGGGCGGGGCAGACGGGGCCACAGACACAGGCGTCTAGCCAGTCACCCAGAGTACCTTTTTCCCCAATATAACGTCACCCTGTTGATCTCAGGGAAAGAAAGAAAAATTCCACTTTTTGTCCCGGAAGTTGACCTGGTTTGTGAGTAGAACCCTCGACCTTGTCTCCCAGGACCATCTTCTGGTGTCAGATTCTCAGGTGGTCCTCAGGTGTTCCCCGCTGTGTCTCCAGACTTGTGAATGGAAGGGGTGCCCCTGGCTCCTGTCCTGCCCCTCCCTGGCATTCTCATTCACACCTCTCTATTGCTCATGGGCCCCTCAGATGGGCCCGGCATGGTTTGCGGGGAGAGCGCCCCATTCCTTAGGGTTCTCTTCACACAGGCTCTGGGGGGGGGGACACCAGAGAGCCAGGTGCCTGGGGAACTCGGCCCACAGGAGCCCCCAACACGCTCTGTGCTGCTTCCCAAGTATCAGAACCTTGAGACGTGGGCCTAGTTGCTGGAAAATGACTGAGTGAACTTTTGAGCATGAAAGATGGCAGTCGTGGCAACAGCTGGCATCTGCTGGCTGCATCTTCTATGCCAGCATTTGTATCAACTCACTTGTGTCAGCCAGTGCCACCTAGGTAGCCCCCGACTTCCCCAACCTGGGCTCTGCTCCGTATCTGGGGGCCTTGAACACTGACCCCCGGGTCCTGGCATCTCTGACTCCAGGGCCCAAACCTGGCAGGGCACAGTAGCACTAGACCTGGCTCAACAGGGGCAGCCGGCGCCCACCCATCCCAACACTGTATTTCATGGTGTCATACCTGTACCTTGAAATCAGCAAGGTTTTGTTTTGTATTGCTTTTGAGCTTGTTCCCAAGCTGCTCCTAGGAGGGGAATGAACCAGGGCTGTGTGGTGCCTTCATTCCCCTCTAGTAGCTGGGCCACCTCACAATGCATGTGGCTCAGGAGACCCACCGATCTCAACTCTGGAGACAGGCTGTTGGCCATTTTGACTCATGCCATCGCAATCCATTGGAGACTTGGGAATGATGTCGTCAAGGAGTGACACTTCTGGCCAGTAAACTGCTGTCGGGACCCATTTGAAACCACAGAAATGGACGGGTGCTGGGGGAGTGAGGGCTGCTCCCTGCCACAGCCCCCCGTCACTCTGCTAGGGAGCTCCTCCCGCCACCCACTCTCAAAGACGGCTTCAAAGGGGGATGATCAGGAAAAGGGCTCTCAGAGGGGAGAGGCCAGTTGGAGGCACTTGGGGAGCTCAGCATGGTGACCTGCAGCAGGCCTGGATTTGGGGAGGGCATGAACAGGGGCCAGAGGAGGCTGCGAACGATGGGAAGCTCACCCCGAGACAGCAGCGTCCCCAGCCCTAGCAGCATGGCTGCGTCACAGCTCAGGCCAGGTTTCATCACCAGCCAGGGCCAGGGGTCACAGCACAGGCGCCAGAGCCACGGTGCGAGGCGACAGGCTGACGGGCCAAGCCTGGCTTCCTGGCCATCTGCCCTCCCTGGGGGTGGGGGGCTCAAGGCCAGGCCCCATCATTGGCTGGTGCGGAGGGGAGGGCTTCGGCAAGGGCAAGGCTGGGAGCCAGGCCTGTGGTCAGGAATTGCTGACCAAGGGACCCCAGCCTCTTCTCCAGCATGCAGCAGCATGTCCTTGACCCCAGCTCCCCTGACCCCACATCCATGTCCCCTGGGTCTCCAACACACAGACTGGGTACCCACTGGTGTGGGATGGCAAGGACTGGCACACAGCCATGACCACAGCAGCTGAGGCCCTGGCCTCAGGGAGCTCTGTACAGACGCCAGCCCTCCCCACACCTGCAACGCACAGACACAGACAGACAAGGCGGGGGCCACGTGGGCCAGTTTATTGCAGTTAAATACCTCTCTCTCTCTCTATTTTTTTTGTCCATTTTTCCATAAAGAAAATTACACACACACACACACACACACGCACACAAACACACGCACACACACAAACACACACACGCGCACACACACACACGCGCCCGCACACACATACACACACCCAGAGGGAGCAGGGATCCAGAAACAAGAGGTGGGGTGGGACGTGGCCTCCCTGCTTAGGTCCAGGTCCCAGGGATGGCCCCCCCCAAAGCTCCCTCCTTCCCATAAGCACCCTGTCTCAGCACCTCTAGAAACCAAGGAAGCAGCGGGAAGCGGCAGGGCCTCTGTCCTCCCTTTAGCCTCCAGGTGAGACCACTAGAAGTGCCAGGGCATGGTGAGGGCCAGGGGAAGGGAGACCGACAGACAGATGGGGAGGGGTATCGTTCCAAGTTGAGGAGGGCGGTGGGCAATGTATCCACAGAAATGCATTATTTCTCCCCGTTTTTGTTAAAAATCTACTATAAAAAACGCAGCTGGGGGAGGGGCGTCTGTCCCTCTCTGTGCTAAGGGCTGGGGGAGGGGGCAGCAGAGGCCAGCGGCTGCACACTGGGGGCGGGCGTCACGTCACTGCCGGGTGCTCTCGCCCACCATCTCCAGGTTGTGCTGCTGCAGCTGGGCTCGAAGCAGGGCGTTCTCATTCTTCAACTCCTCGATCTGCAGACATGACAGGGGTCAAGGGAGTGAGCCGGGGCTGGCTCCTGAGGCCCCAGTCTGGCCCCAGCCTGGCTCTCACCTGTTGCCGCAGGAGCTCATTGTCCATCTGCAGCCGCTCGGCCTCCTTGAAGGTCTCCTGCATGCGCTGGTTGGTCTGGCGTAGCTCCCGGATGTAATCGCAGGCCTTCGACAGGATCCCCCCTTTACTCTGGGGCAGCGGGTGGGCAAGAGCATCAGAGGGAGCACTGCCCACCATCCCATCCCAGGACAATTCTGTGCCCACTGCCAGCCAGACTTCCTGGAAGAGGCCTGGGAAACTGGGCCACCGAGGCTGGCGGACACTCACCGCTCCTGTCTTGCTGTTGTCTGCATTACAGTCTGGAATGATTTTTGAAAGTTGGACGATCCAGTTGTTGATCTTGTCCCTCCGCCTCCGCTCCACTGAAGGAAAAACAGCAACAGTTCCGGCTACAAGGACAGCACTTCCGGTGTGCCTGGCAGCACAGGCTGTCGGTGCGGAGCACACCAAGGGACAGCGAGGGCCCTGCCTAAGCCTATAGCCAGGAAGTGCCAAGACGAGAACCCTGACAGGCCTCCCCCAAGCTGGCTTTGCTGCTTCACAAGGAGGAAGGATCAGATCCTGACCCTCGTGCCTCACACCTCGGGCACACCTCACACCCTGGCAGAAACCAGAAGCCAGGGACGGTGGCCATTTTGTTGGCCTGCCCAGCATACTGGCAGAAATCTGAGTCAACATTTAAAAATTAAGAAATTTCACTCATAATGGGCATCTTGGGCTTCTTTTAAAAGATGGAGTCTGGGCACAGTGGGCTCATGTTCTTGGGAGGCAAAATTGACACAGGATCCTACAACACTCCTGTGCCCACAACCCCTACATTTGATTCTCTACATCGTTTCAGAAACTCTGGGTTCCATGATCTTGTTTTCCCACTTTTTTTTTTCTTGGTACCAAGGATTGAACCCAGGGACACTTCTTAACCACTGAGCTACATCCCCAGCCCCATTTTTATATTTTATTTAGAGACAGGGTCTTGCTGAGTTCCTTAGGGCCTCACTAAGTTGCGGAGGCTGGCTTTGAACTCGCAATCATCCTGCCTCAGCCTTCCAAGCCACTGGAATTACAGGTGTGCGCCACCACCATCTGGCTTTCCTTCTCATCTTTAAAAATCAAAGTCTAATCTCATCTTGCCCCTATTTAAAGTCTTTCTCCAGGGTCCTGGCAACAACTTCCAGCTCCCCAGACTGGCACCCATGGCTCCCAAGGGCTCCCCAAGGTCATTTGCTCTTGGGGAGCACGATGGAACATGAGCAGGAACCCTATACCCTGAAGGCCAAAGATGGTGAACTAATAGAGAACGTCACCTGGAAAGTCCGGGTTTGAGATTTTATTCTATAATCTCTACAGTGTCACTCGGAAGCAGCTGAGCTGGGTGGCAGTCACCCCTGCAGGCAGGCCGTGTGATCTTCCTTTGGCCAAACTCAGTCCCTAAGCTGCTCTCCCTAGGAGCCGGGTGCACTGGACCCCAGATCCTCTCAGGCTCCCAGAGGCAAGACTGCCTCAAGCCTTCATTAGCAGCTGGTTCAGGGCCACACCCCGTGGGGACACGGAAGCCCCAGGCACTCCCAGCTGCCCTCACCCCAGCCCCACCCTCTGGCCAGGAAGGCTCAAGAATTCTGTGGAGTCTGTGGAGTGCGGAGATTAAAAACAGGGTAAGGGGACATTTTCTAAGGGTTGGAGAGTGGCAGGGGGAGAAGGGAGGCGCGAGTGAGGGCATCCTCTCCACTCCCCCCGGAGATCAGCACCTCCACCCAGCCCTGCCACCCCCTCGAGGGTTGCTCATGGCAATATGATTTTACCATAGAAGCCACTGTCTTCTCTGGGTTCGTCCACTCCTGCTGACCAGCCTTTCCTGCCTCCAAAAGCCTTCTGTATTGGCCTGGGTGACATCCCCCTCCAAGGACGGCTCTTCTCCCCTCCGATCTCTCCTCCCAGCCCTACTTCTCCTCATTGTCCTCTCTTCCTCTGGAAACTGCCCAACACCATGCTGAGAACGATGCCTGGTGCCCGGGGCTGCACTTGCTGCAGGGGCCGAGCTCACTCTCTCACTCTGCACTGGGCTCTGGTGCAGCTTTGCTTCCCATCACCGTCATGGTGAGTGGGATCCGCCACGGAGGGTAGCCGCACCTATGGGGACTCTGTGGCCAAAAGTAGCAGCAAAGCGGAGTCCACCCCAGGCCTGGCAGCAGCACCACCACATCCCTCCACAGTGCGCTCTTCCCAAAGCTCTCAACAGCAGCTGCCTCTCGGCTTCCTCTCCCTCCACCTCAGCCTTCCGAGCCAGCCGGGGCTGCAGACTCATCTCTTGGCACTGTCATTCCAGGCCGGCAGGGGCAGGGATGGGGGCGGGGGTGGCCTCTGTAGTTTACATTTACTTCTGAAAAAACCTGCTGCCTTCATGGTGGCCTGTGGGACCCTCCACGAGGCTGGGATCTAGGGTGGAATCAACTCCTGGTCCTGTCTTGCTGACACTCAGCACCGCTGCGGGGCCACAGTGACCCCACAGCTAATGACTACACAGTGCCCGGGAAGGCCGGGTGGGGCAGAATTTTCTGCCTGGGACTGAGGCTGGGATGAATCTTCAGAGGAGACTTGAGAACATCTGAGCTGGCTCCCGTGAGGAGGGGCATCAGGTGATAGGTGGCAAGAGCCCAGAAATGGTGACATGAAAACACAATGTGGGTGGGTAGGGGGAGCGAGAAGAAGTGCCACAGGTGGTCAAGTCTTGCATGCTCTGCTGGTGGGGCTGGACCTCAGCTCTTCCTCCAGAGCTCCAGCCCCTCAGGCCCAGGGCTTGTCACCCCAAGCAGTGGTGACGGGATCAAGCCTGTGGCTTGGGAAGACATCAGAGCACTTTTGAATGGAGGAGGCTAGGGTCACATTCACTCCATGGGAGAACTTCTGTTACACCCACGCAACACTTAAAACACAGTCGAGCAGCACAACCTACCAGGACGGAAGAGAGAAATGGACAAACT